CCAGCTCCACTTGCACCCTCATTCGCTGGTTTTTTGAGAGATAGCTGGACCCGTAGATCTTAACAGCAGTGTAAGCCATGGCTGTGGAAGGTGGGGAAAAGGGTGACCGAGGGCATCAGGAGCTGAAACACCAGGTAAAGTTCCCAGCATGGAGCAACCTCCGCAGCCATGATTCTCCTCCTTTCCCTGTGACCTGGCCCCTGCAGTCAGGCCTTGTTGGACAGCAGTTGCAGTCACAGCAATCCTCAGGGGATGGATATCTTGCAGTCAAGCACTCAGGATCTATGGGAAAATCAGTCTTCCTCTAGTTTTGTGGGTCATTGGGTCAGTCCTTGGGCAGGACTAACCATCTCCTCCACTACCAGTTCCACTCTGACCTCAGGATCTTGGTGGTATCTTCTTTCTGTTCAGGTCACTTTCCAGCAGGCTCCCAGAGCTGCCCCCATGAAGGACTGCCAACCATGCCTCCCTGGGGTCTTCTGCAATAGAGCTGGCCTGGCCAAGCCTCAGGGGCTATGCCACCCTGGCTATCACTGTGGGCATGGCTCAGAACTATATCCTCAGGGAGTACAAGCTCTGCCTGGTGGAGACATAGCACCCTGGCCAAATGAAAGGAAATCTTGTCAAAACTGAGCAGGTAGAAATGCAGGCTGCCAATGTGGGTAATGGAAGCTAAAATGAGTGCAGGCTTCACCAGAAAGGGGCTGAACACTTATGCCATCTTGCTAGGAAAATGCTACATTGGTACCACATGCACTCACTAACCACCAAATGTTGAGGCAAATGCTGATACCTACCACAGCACCAACACCGGGCAGAGCGCTGACCCCTACAGCAGCCCAAGGCCTGAATTTCCTTACAAAAGTCTCAGGTAGTTTGTATGCATTGACATAATAATTTTCCAACATGGGAAAACTTGAAAGAGGAGATATTAAACATATTAAACATATTACATATTTTCATAAAGAAAGCAAAACCACAGAAGCCTAGTAATAGAGAAATATCCTGGCAGAGATGTGGCATAGCACCCTAGAGTATGTTGAGTTATTATCATAGCAGGTGCGTATGCTAAGTGCTACATAGATGGTTGGTAGAAGATAAAAAGCAGATAGGAAAATTGATTACCTAGTAGATGATTGATGGTGGATGATAGATAAATTTATTAATTGACAACTATGGATGAATGATAATGAATGATTGAGAGATAGATAGATAGATAGATAGATAGATAGATAGATAGATAGACAGATCATCTACCACAATTAAAGCTGTATATTAGGACAAATAGCAAATAGTCAGAGAGATTGGATTGTTTCGGCTATTTAACATTTTTTTTTACATTTTTTTCTGAAAAGTTAAGTTTCTAGAACAGCCCTCAAAGGGACACTGGCCAGGCTGAGCCTGAGTCCCATCAGCTTCCTTAGAGCGGCCGCGAGTGGAAGTCCACGGAGCACATAGCCCACCCCCAGCTGTTAAGCCTAGACTGATCGCTCTTCCTCCAGGAGGGGCTCCCCTTTGGTGAGCTGTCCCTTCTGGCCATTTCTGCCCTGCTGGCACCTCAGACTCCAGGCAGTTGCCCTGCCCAGCTGGCACCTGGAATGCAAGGAGAGGAGCTTGAGACATGAGCTGGTGCCTTCCTTGTCCACATGGGCTGTTCTATGCTTTGGAAGGCCAAGCTGTCCCTGGGAGGCCCAGTGCACCAGGTGAAGGTACCTTGGGAAGGTCTCCAGTATCCATAAAATCCTCGGTCCTGAGGGGAGGAGGTATGTGGAGCAAGCCCAGGGCCCATGTGCCTGGTCACTGTGGCCAGACATGAGTGAATGTGATGGAAGGCAGATGAGAGATCAAGCAGGGTGGGGAAGAGTCTGACACAGCAGCCCCCTGTTGCAGCCACCCTGGTGCCCTGGGCTAGGGGGCTAAGGAAGAGATTGTGTCCTGCTCATCCCAGGGAAGCCCACCACCTGCAGGGACCACACTTGGCCTGGGCTTTGAGGAAAGAGCTGAGGATCTCCTGAGACCTCCATGCTACAGCATCCCACACACAGCAGGTGCCTCTGGGGCCAGAGACGAGAAAAGGACCATATCCCATGTCCTCTGCCCTCCTGCATCTGCTCACCCTTCTTAGCACACAGGGGCTCTGTGTGATGAGTGCCTTGGCAACCCCAGAGCCTGTTCACATCCCTGCTCACAAAGATGCCATAGGTACTGGGTGCTGTAAGGTTGGACCCAACTTCCTGCCTGAGAAGCTGCTAGTCTAGGTGAATCCTCTTCCCAGGATTCCACTGCCCAGAAGGGACACTCACCCCAAGACCATCCAGAGGGCCATGGGGAAACCTGGAACTCTGCTTGGAGGCCACAGTCCAGATGGACATGGAGCACAGCAAGGACACAGCAACAAGCTGGCCCAGGAGCTTGCAAACTTGACATTGAAACATGGTGTGCCCTGGTTGGGTGGGGCCTTGGGTGAGTGCCTCTTTTCTCCAGATCAAGAGATCCACCAGGATTAGATGTACTCAACTGGTCATTACTTTCCCCAGGGCATGTCCATTCCCAGGAGCCCCAAGGCCAAGGCCAGGGCTGCCCACCACGTTCTGCATGTCCTGTAGGTGTGACAATGGAGAGGTCTCCTAGGGAAAACAGCCTGAGGAAAGGGATTGCTCAGAAACCTGCTGCTGCCAGTCCTGGAGGGCAAGGGTGGGACTTTTGGGTGTGAGAGGGCAGAATCAGCCACATGACTGTGAGAGGTCACTCACTCAGCCATCCTGAGGCTTCCTTCCTTCTAGATCCCAAGGTGGGTGACACATGAGAGGAAATACAGAGGGCAACAAATAAGTACTTTTCCTGCCGGACAGGGAGGAGGAGAGTGACCTGGGCGACCTTGGCTGTGGAAGTTGCTATCTTGGCAGCCTTCCAACTCTGCCCTTTTCTGGGATGGTCTTAGAGCACACAAGGTGAGGAGGGGAGACTGGCATAGAGAAGGCCACTTTGTGATTCATCCTCTCCTATGGGGCAGGAACTAAAGTCACCCACCCTGATGGAGGTATCCCCAAGACTGGGGCGGGAGAACTCTGCCCTCTAGGTCATTCCTGTCCAGTGGGCATGGGGTGTCCCTCCCTTGCCCAGTGAGCACCTTCTCAGATCAGTGAGTGTTACTACCCAAATGCAGCCCTGGCCCAGGGCCGGTTCCCTCCTGACTCTGCTCTCACCAACCAACCATGTCCCCTGGAAACACACAGTATAGCATAGAATGAGTGAGCCAGAGTGAGGGCCATTCATGTGGTCCACGGGGGCCTGGGAAACCAAAGTCATAAGAGAGCAGACCCCACCTCTTCAACGTTAGGACCCTCTCAGCCTCCAAGAGAGAACAACCATAGCAAGTAAAGAGCCCTGGTGTTGAAGGTTGCAAGGGTCTTTGGATGTTCAGGTTGTAGATGCCCATTCCCACGGTCTGCAACCCAGGACAGCCTGAGTGTGAACTAGGGGTTAAGATAGAAAAGAAAAGCTGTAGCATCTGGCAGCATGGCCTAGTGGCTAAAGTCCTCACCCTGAACGCACCAGGATCCCATATGGACGCCGGTTCTAATCCCAGAAGCTCCACATCCCATCCAACTCCCTCCCTGCTTGTGGCCTGGGAAAAAACAGTCCAGGACGGCCCAAGGCCTTGGGTTCCTGCGCCCGTGTGGGAGACCTGGGAGAAGTTCCTGACTCCTGGTTCTGGATTGGCACAGAACCGACCATTGCGCTCACTTGGGGAGTGAACCATCGGACAGAAGATCTTCCTCTCTGTCTCTCCTCCTCTCTGTATATCTGCCTTTCCCATAAAAATTAATAAATCTTTAAAAATTAATTAAATAAATAAATCTTTAAAAAAAAAGTAAAAAGAAAAAAATAGCTGTAACCAGGTGCCTGTCTCAAGGCAGACAGAGATGGTGACAGAGGAAGGAACTGACCATATTTCCTTCTGAGCATCTGTAGGGAGCTCACTGGATCCACTGAAGCAGCAGGAGCAGCAGGAAGCTTAAAGGAGAAGAGATGGAAGGGAAACTCTGCCAGGATCCGGCTTCCCCACCTTCCCATCACCTACCGCTCCCTGGTCCAAGTCCTAGGTTTCTTTTTTTCTTTTAGGATGCATTTACTCATAAGAAAAGCAGAATGGAGGAGTGAGGAGAGAGAAAGATTCCATCAGCTGGATCACTCCCTGAACGGCTACCATAACCAGGAAAGCTGGGTGCTGGGGACTCCATCCGGGTCTCCCACAGATTCAGAGGCACAAGTACCTGAACCATCATCCATTGCTTTCCGCCACTGCCCCCCCCCCCCCCCCCCCCCGCCCCCCGGACCCCGCCACTTTTGCAGGGAGCTGGCTCGTATGCAGAGCAGCCCAGACTCAATCCAGCACTCACATATGCTAAGTCAGCTTCACAACAGTGAGTTAACCTGCTGTGCCACAGTGCCAGCCCTTCTTTATGTGCTCTAGGATGATCCTGTCCATCGTCTCTGAGTGCCTGCCCTGCCCCCTGGCCACTTCTGTGCTGTCTTCAGCATCACTACACCCTCGTGACTCTGCTTCCCCGGCTACTTCTGTCTGACAGGGTCTCCTCCCCAACCCCAACAGGTAGGGAGGGATCTCTCAGGGCAGCTATCCCCTGTGCTGGCCAGAAGATGCCTGCAGTTGGGCGGACCCCAGCAGAGGTGGTTTGAACGCTGGGATGTTAGGTGGTGTGAGAACAGAGGGAGTTGGGTAAGCACAGTGGGGGGTGACCTGGACCAGCAGGCCCAGAGGTTTAGTGCTATTCCTGGGCTGCCTGCTCTTATCCTCAGTAGCGGGGCTTGCTGCCTCGCCAACCCAGGGTCGTCTTTGCAGCTCCCAGAGCCTCTCACCAATCCAGAGCTCTGCCAGGAGGTGAGCCCCAATGGGGCCTACAGTGGCGCCCCGAAGCCACCCAGAGGCTGAGGCGAACACGGGCCTCATTCTGTGGAACCAATCTGCCCTTTGTGAGGGGATGAAGTCCATGGCCAAAGCCCCAGGGCGGGACTCCCGGAGAACAGGGATTGTGAATGTCTCTCCTGGAGGCCACGTCCAGAATCTCCGGCTCCCTCTAGTGGCCACAGGCGTCTTCTGGCGATGGCTCCTTGCACAGCCCTCTCTGGTCAACAGGAGTCGCCAAGTAGAGTCTGATCTGTGAGATGCTGTGCAGGTTAGAGCATTGTTCCTGAAATTCTGACAAGTCGGCCCTAGCCCCAGCTTGCTCTCGCTGTGGTCTGTACCCTCACTTGGTGTCCTCCCTCTCTCAGGCCATTCAGAACAAGGTGGCCCCTGTCCCAGAGGTAACTTCTGTCCCCTGGGTACCAGCTTGCCGCAGCCCTGCCCTGCTGGCTCCTACAACTCCCTGCCTGGCCAAACCTCCTGTTCCCCTACCCTGCTGGCCACTATGGCCCTGAGAGCACCAGCCACTACAGTGGGCTCCCCTGTCCCGCTGGCTTCTACTGCCCCTAAGGTAAGTGACAGAACCACATGCCCAGGCTGGGCAGCAGGGTAGACAGGTGCACTGTCTCAGCAGGGCACATGGACTCAGCTCTATAAACTGACCTGGCAACTACAGATGGTATGGATGTGTCCTCTGCTGCGGGGACATTCCCACCCCGCACCTGAAGACCAGGGGAGCACTGGTTCTGCAGGGTCTGTGCCCAAACAGCAAACCATGGGCACCAAATTGCTGGATTTTAATTTGCATGCAACTTATATACTGTATCCCACAATTATCCATATTGGTTGGAAAATACCTTGTAAAGGACTCCAATGCAATGTTACAGGATTTCCTCATGGTGTACTCACCATGGGGAGAGGGGAGAAATCTCTGTCTCTGGCCTCCCAGTAGCCAGGATTTTGTCACCTTGTGGCTGTGGTGCCCATGGGCCGAGCCCATTTGGCCCTGGAGTGATTTGCCGGCAATCCGGGAATATAGGGGTTGGAGATGGGTTTGTAATGAAGTGGACAGCAGGCAGGCTGGGGACGCAATGGACACTGGCTGAACAGGCCAGTCCTCATAGCAGTGGTCTATGAGCTGTTTGCGCAGGCCAAGCCACCTTGACCTGGAGCTGCAGGTGGACAAGCAGCCTGATTGAAGCACTGGATGGCTGGCTGAGCCAGCCTGGTTCTGGAGCAGCAAGTGAAACAGCCGGACAGGTGTGCTGGTTGGTGGGGGTGGAGGGAGGTTGTGCAGTCCCCAGCCAGAGTGGGGCTGGACCTGGCCCTGGCCCTGGAGCAGCGGGTGTAGTGGCAGGGCTAGAGGTGCAGGGGTCCACTGCTTTGTCACTGTGGCTCTGCATCAGATGACAGGCAGGCTAGGGGAGAAAGGGCTCAGTCCCAGCTGGCCTGGCCCTGGAGCGGTCATCATGGGGGGCCGTGGTGCTAGAGGTTCAGAATGGGTACATCACCTGCAGCCACCTGCTGCACAGAGCAAGCGAGCTAGAAATTTAGAGTCTCCCACCAAGCAGGCTTGTCCCTGCTGCTGGAGGAAGGGCAGGAGTGCCAGAGGCATTGAAGGCACTAGGTGGGCGGGTCTGGCCCTGGACCAGCAGAGTGTGGTGCGTGAGGGCTGGAATTCATGTTCGCTGGACCAGGCAGCCCGGCCCCAACCTGGATCAGCAGGCATGGTGGTGGGTCTGGGAAACCAGAGGCCCTGGGGGATAAAAGCGAAGCACACCCTACCCAGGAATGGCTGGTGAGTGAGCGACTGTCTGAGCGAACAAGTTAGAGGATGATCACACCTCATCCTAGAGTTGTGGATGGGCCTGCACATTACAGGCTCATTGTGGTTGGGAGAGAGGGGGAACGCGCAGCCTGTGTGGCCTGGCCCTAGAATGCCAGGCAGGTTGACAGGATAACTTCTAGTGCAATTTATCTATCTATCTATCTATCTATCTATCTATCTATCTATCTATATCTATCTATCTATCTTCCTTCCTTCCTTTCTTTCTTTCTTTTCTTTCTTTTTTCTAGACTTTCTTTTTTTGGAAAGTCAGATATACAGAGAGGAGGAGAAACAGAGAGGAAGCTCTTTTGTCTGCTGGTTCTCTCCTTTAGTGGACACAACAGCTAGAGCTGAGCTGATCCAAAATTAGGAACCAGGAGCCTCCTTCAGATCTACCCCGCAGGTATAGGGCCCCAAGGTTTTGAGCCATCCTTGACTGCTTTCCCAGGCCACAAGCAGGGAGCTGGATGGAAGGCAGGGAAGCCAGGATTAGAACCGGCACCCATATGGGATCCTGGTGCATGGAAGGCAAGGACTTTAACCACTAGGTTACCGCACTGGGCACTGAAGTTATTTAAATATATATTTTATACATGTGTGTATTTTTGTTTCACATGCTTCCAGCATGTCAGAGATTTGTAAATACTTCTAAGTCCTTCTAAGATGCATCATGAAAAGATTATTATAAAACCTAATTAGGCAACTGATCCCCTAAGAGAAGTTAAGTACCACCATTGCTTTGGAGATGGGCAGATCACCCAGAGATAGTTCTTTTATAAATGCAGATCGTGCCTTATGGAAATTAAGTAGTTTCCAATAGAAAAAAAAAATGATACTTTAACTATCTATATAACAGCATTCAGTGGAATAATGCTTCTTCATGTCATTTGTGACTTCTTTGAACTTGGGATGCTCTGTTTTCATTTTGTGTTTTGATAAATGTTCCTTTCAAATCTTTTTTTTTCCCAACACTTAACGTTTATTAAAAAGTGGCAAACAGCAACAACAACAACAAAAACCTGCACAAAAATATGTAGAATCATTCATCTCTCTGAAACAGTAATCATGAGAGCCACTATCTCCTGGGACCCCCTCGTCCTCTGCCACGGTCAAGTCTTCTTCCTCTGACTCTTCCTGCGACAGCTTCTGCTTTCTTAGATTTCACCTTGGGTTCAACATCCACAAGTAATGTGTCCAGAGTAAGCTGTCTGGCAGAATAAAATATCAAATGTTATTTCCTCGGATACTCAGGGTTTCCAGCTGTACGGGTTCTCTGTTCTTCTGGGTCATTTTCACAGCTTTAAGATGTGTATTTATGTTGACATCTGCTCTGGCCAGCAGAACCAGTAATATGGACACAGAGAGGGTCTGGGGATGAAGCACCGACAGGAGACCAGTGATGGTAGAAGTCTCTACGACTCTCGCTTTATTGCTCCTTCACCTCTCCTTATATACTCTTCCCCCACATCCTCATGTAGCAGAATATTGGATACAGATGAATTCAATTAGTCTAGGTGTTTTTAGCCCCAAGCCCAGTGCCTGTTCTTGTCCAGTCCAATGAGCACTAATCAACTCCTCAGCCCACAACAGACATCGACACATGGGATAGTTCCAGGGACCTGTGTTCTATTCTTCAAGTCAATGGTTACAGTATCATGACTCAATTTCATCAGAATCCCATGAGCTTCATCCTGGCAGCCTAACTACCCTTTTTCTGGTCAGTAATGCAGAGGAGGTGCCAAGCCAGGACCGACCGGTGCCGATGAATCTCAAAAATTTAGAAATGTAAAATAACATGATTTTGATTGCCCTCGGCTCATCAATGATTAGCAGTGAATCCTGCCTGCAGTGTTGGCCTCCTCACTCTGTTCTCACCCCAAGCCACTTTTGCTGGCAGCATTGGCAAAAAGGTTGAAGACATGCCTCTGGACTGCCAGTGACCCAAAATGAGCCAATGAATGAGTTGGTTGTTGGAAAAATGTTGATATAAAATCTCATCTCGGGGTTTTTGGCACTCAAGAAGAAAGAAAAGAAAAGGAAACTGAATTTGCTGAGTGTCTACCAGAGGTTGATGACTCCCAGGTCCTGTGTAGGCAGACAACTAGTTGGGTCAATAGGTCCAGTTTACAGAACAAGGGTGTGGGAACAATTGATGGAATCTGCAGATATAATCATGGGAATTCCCATAATTGTTATGTAAATTCCTCAAATCCTCCTCCCTTATTCTCTGTGACCCTTAGTCTATAAACGCCTGATAATACTAATAAACTCAGACTATTGGTGACCATTCAGTAGTCCATTCTCAGCTGCGTGCACCAAGTCCATCACTGAGGGCATCAAACACTCATGGGTCATGGAAGCAATTGGTTCTCTGCCAAGCCTTTTCCCTTTTATTATTAGTGAGCTCTGCTATATTCAGGTAACCCACTCTAATTCTGAGTATCAGTTGAAAACAAGGTGGTGGAGAGATGTGTATACTTAGGACATGCAGGGCAATGTGATGTTAGAATTGTATTTTCCAGGTCCATTGTGGTGGCCTAGCAGCTAAAGTCCTAGCCTTGAAAGCGCCAGGGATCCCATATGGGCACAGGTTCTAATCCCGGCGGCCCTGCTTCTCATCCAGCTCTCTGCTTGTGACCTTGGAAAGCAGTCAAGGATGGCTCAAAAACCAAAGACTCAGGACACTGCATCCATGTGGGAGACCCAGAAATGCTCCTGGCTCCTGGCTTTGGATCAGCACAGCTCAGACTGTTGTGGTCACTTGGGGGTAAATCATCGGACAAAAGATCTTCCTCTCTATCTCTCCTCTTCTCTATATGTATCTGACTTTGAAATGTAAAATAAATACATCTTTTTAAAATTTTTTTACTTTCCACTTTCACTTCTCTCTTGGTGGAAGAAATATTGATTACTGTCCAGCCTCTTATAAATGACACGAATAATCCCATACTCACATATTCTGTTATGGAGTAATCAAGTCATTCAGCTTTGAAGTGTTTAGTAAACGAAGTTTCCAGTCTTCAGAGTGTGATGCACTGGACTAACTAGGTCTTCTGGTTGAACAGGGGAAAAAAGTACTTGAGGAAACTGGACTATTCTAAAACAATGTTTCAGGACAATTTGAGATTTTAAAATTCAACACAGCTGTGTGCTTTTGAATTTAGTATTGCTGAAAGCCATGTTGGAAGCACAGGAGGGGCAGCTGGTGGAGGCTGGTGCTGTCTTCTAGGCTCTTACCCAGATCTGGGCAGGGCGGCCTCTTTTTATTATTCAGGATTTAGCTACAATGCTCTTGTCTCACAATGCCTTCCCAAAGCACACTTCCTTGGCCCTACATCAGAGGCTGATCCTATTCCCCCCCCCTTTTGTTTAAATAATGTCTAGGCTGTGTTTACTTACCCTCTGGAAGAAGACAAACTCATTGAGGGCAGAAATTGTGTTTTGTAATGGTATCACAGACCCCCAAGGTAATCTAGACACGTTGAAGAGACTGATGGACAACTTGAAGAGACAAAATAAGGGTCCAGTGCAGTTGCTTAGCATCTAAAGTCCTCGCCTTGCATGCACCTGGAGTCTCATATGGGTACTATTTGTAATCCTGGCTGCACTGCCTCCCCTCCAGCTCCCTGCTTGTGGCATGGGAAGACAGTTGAGAATAGCCTTGGGACCCTGCACCCACCTGGGATACCCAGAAGAAGTTCCTGGCTCCTGGCTTTGGATCAGCTCTGCTCCAGCTGTTGCGATCAGTTGGGGAGTGAATCCATGGACAGAAGACCTTCCTGTCTGTCCTTTCTATATATCTGATTCTGCAAGAAAAATAAATGTTAAATAAAAAAAAAAAGATGAAATCAATGCTTAGTTCCAAACCAGGGGCCTCAAGATTTTCTAATCTGGGCCTAGAGCAGTAGCCTAGTAGCTAATTTCCTTGCCTTATATGTGCTGGAATTTCATATGTGTGCCAGTTCATTTCCCAGCTGCCCCTCTTCTCATGCAGCTCCTTGCTGTGTCCTGGGAAAGCAGTAGAGGATGGTAGAAACTATGGGCTTCAGATCAGCTCAACTCTGGCTACTGCGGCCACTTGGGAAGTGAATCAGCAGACGGAAGATTGCCTTCTCCCTGTAAATCTGCCTTAACAATAAAAACATATAAATCCTTAAAAAAAATTTCCTAGCGCCATCCATGCCATTGGCAGTGTTAAGTCATTCAATAGCGTAGTTTCATTCTTCATTTACAATAGTGCATGGTCCCTAAGGGTTAAGGCTCACCTAGACCCTGTGTTCCCAGGTGGGAGGCCGTAGCTAATTGTGGAGCTACTGCGCCAGGCCCTGCACAAGCAGGCAGTCATAAAGAAATGCTACAGAGGGTCCCTACCAGTTAAGCTACACATTATTGAGACAGCCCTTTCAAGAAGAGCTTGGACATCTATGCTTATGCTCTATACTTGATTCACAATGCTTAAGCAGTCCAAATCCCATTCATGCTGGTGCCATTGCAAAAAGATTTTTTTTTTCTTTTTTAATGTTTTTTTTTTAAGATTTATTTATTTTTATTGGAAAGTTAAATATTCACAAAGGAGAAACAGAGAAGAAGATCACCTGTCCGATGATTCTTTCCCCAAGCAGCCACCAGGAGCCTCTTCTGGGTCTCCCACATGGGTGCAGGGTCCCATTATAGACTGCTTTTCCAAGCCACAAGCATAGAGCTGGATGGGAAGTGGGGTTGCCGGGATTAATACCAGTGCCTATATGGGATCCTGGTGTGTCCAAGGAAAACGTTTTAGCCATTAGGCTACTGCGCCAGGCCCTGCACAAAGTTTTTGTGTTGTCTTAGGTCAACCTAATCTGGGAGCTGCCGTGCCCCTCCCCAACTTTAATTTTTTCACCAATTCTCTTGTTTATTTTTCTTTCATTGTCACTTGCTTCTTCTTTCTTTCAGCTCTGCCTACTTCATTTTTCATTACTTTCTCCTCCTGTCTCCCATTCCTGGGAAAATTCCTTTCTTTCTTTCTTTCTTTCTTTCTTTCTTTCTTTCTTTCTTTCTTTCTTTCTTTCTTTCTTTCTTTCTTTCTTTCTTTCTTCCTTCCTTCCTTCCTTCCTTCCTTCCTTCCTTCCTTCCTTCCTTCCTTCCTTCCTTTCTTTTCTTTCTGATTTGAAGCCGTGAACAAGGTTCTTCTAGATGTCCCATGGGCGTACAGGGTCCCAGTGCTTTGGACAGTGCTCTACTGCCTTCTCAGGCCACAAACAGGGAGCTGGAAGTAGGTGGAGCTGCCGGGACATGAAGAGGTGCCCATGTGGGATCCTGGCACATGCAAAGTGAGGACTTTAGCCACTAAGCTACTGCACCAGGAGGGACTATTTCTTGTAATGAGATCCAGCTATTGAAGATTTTGCTAATGTTTTCTCCTTATTAGTTCTTTTCCTTTCCTTGTTCATTTCACTTCTATTTCTCCCCCCCCCCCTTTTCCTTTCTTTCATTTTTATTGTTGCACATCCTTGAAAGGAACCTTGGCCAACTCCATGACTCCAGTTGGCACCCCCACCCCTGCTGCCTCCACACCCTTCACTGGAGCAAAGGTGGTGATCCACACCTTCCACAAGCCCTAAGAGTTCCGATGTCTGAGGCAGCTCTGCGGTGCCCTGCCCAAACCTCAGCCAAGTGGAATGCCTCTGCCCAACCTTGCCGTGTGCTATCCACAGATAGATGTGTGCCACGTGTCTGAGCATCAGCGGTGGCCTCATGGGAGTTAGAGCGAGCACCTTACACAGGTCAGAGGACTTATCCATCTCTATCCCTGGGGCCACATGCTAGGAGGGGCTGTGCCAGGCATGTAGGGTGATGCGTGAATAGATCAGTGTATACACCACATCTAGCCCCAGCAGAAAAGCCCGGACAATGCCCTATAGCTGTAGATCTGGGCGGTCTCGCAGGGAGTGGGCTGTGAAGGCTCTGGCTTCCTTTCCCACTTCCTCCTCACCCTGTGGTGCAGGACACTGGGGCGGCTGCAGAGGGTCTGTGAGGATCTTTGCAACTGTATGCCTCCATTCTGTTAAGAGCAAATCCATGAGAGGGGCTCTGGCCAATTGGTGTGCCATGGAAGTGTTGCAGCCACACCACAGGGGCAGCAGTGTGCCTCAGGACTGGCTGCCATCACACCACAAGCCTGCAGGTCCACTATGCAAGTATGTTCTATTGGGAATGAGTGGAGGTGACTCCTGCTGTCTGCCAAGGTCAAGCAGACACTCCCATCCAGGAATGTTTGGAATTCTGTCTGTGCAGAAGATCAACACCTGCATGATATGTTTGCCTAACTGAGGAGCTATTGACCTCCCCCCACCCTCCACACCTAAGATAGATACAAGCCCAGTGCTGTAGCATGGGTGGTCATCTTCCTCACATGGCTACCCTGACATGTGGAGGTAATCCCGGACTGTCTCACTCAGGGAGCAGTTCATCAGACTCTTCCTCACAGCCACCTTTCTCACTTGAATAAAGACCTCCTGTGTGACTCGCTGCATCTGGCACGTGGGTTTGTGGCAAAAATTCCTAAGATACTTCATGATAGCCACCACAGTCCTCCTGACCTTGTTTGGGACATGAGCATACCCATCATGCATATTCCTGAGTCTCCACAGCTCCTCAGATGTCCCAGGAGTGGTTTTAGACCTGTGGC